TAGATGTAGTTTGTTTTTTCGCTTTTCGCTTCAAACAACGCGAACAGCCTCGTTCCTGTGTCCTACATAACGCATCCACAACAGCTGCGATCCTACTTACCGGTATCGTTTCCAGCTGGCGTTACGACGGCGTATTTCCTTTCCAATGGAAGCCTTCCACCAAGGCGGTTTACCGAATGACTTTTGCAGTTTCAGAGGCGCGAACTCATCCTGCAATGCAAGTAAGTTTACCTTAATTATTCTCCAGGCATCCTCCACTACAAACCTATCTTCGGCTGGCTACCAGACGAGCTCAGTTGCCTTCCTTTACGGTCCATTTACATCTAATTTTCCGAAGCAGTGCACCTTGCGTTCATGTGGTTTCGGTAGCCTTGTTTCTGGTGTGAACTTAATAACCACGTGGTCGCACTTTCCAATTGCGGGGAGGTAGCCGACTTCTTGCACATCCCTATCTTACCGTGTGATAACAAGGTCCAGCAGAGATAGTTACTGTCCCGACCTGCTAGTGCTGGTGCATTACTTTGAGATGCAGCCAGTCTACAAAGCCCTGCTCCTGAGTATCGTTCGAACAACTGCCGATGTCCCATTTCATACCTGGTAGGTTGAAGTCCCCCAGTATAACTAGCTTATGAGGCATCCGTGCCAACATATCCAGTGCTGATAGGAGCTGCTCGTCCTCCGTTTCCATCGCACTAGGACTCCTATATACACACGTTATTTTGATTTTGTGCCCCTTGACGGCGAGGGTGACTGAGAACATCTGTATGTTGCTCGTGCAGACTAGAATATCCAACCGAATTTGTTGGATATCCTTCCTAACTAATATAAGTACTTCGCCACCCTACANAGACGGCTACAACAGTCGCTTTGTGTTCATTTGCTATGTTTAGGGTTTCTCCCCACTTATACCTTATACTGCACACATTGTACATAGTACCACAACTTTACCGTCCCGTACGTCTAACTCCCTCAAGACTCTTAATTTTCCTGTACTCGCGTGACACCCGAACACAGCACCCGAAGGAACAACAAGCTTTTTGACGTGTCTATAAGTTGTTCGATAAATGCACCTGT